ATGATGATGATGATGATGATGATGATGATGATGATGATGATGATGGTGATGATGATGATGATGATGATGATGATGATGATGATGATGCTAGTCAACCACGAGCGTGTGCACGGGCCCTGCAGTTACTATAAGTAGCCTCGGCAAATGAGATCGAGTACAGCTACGAGTATGACGGGCCATCGTTGATCATTGGACTGGGCTACCGGGCATAGTTCAGATATCATACTCAGCGTTGGACATCGGCACAGGCCTAGCAATTACGATAGAGATGTCGACTATGGTGGGCCGCCGTTGGTTGTTAGATTGGGACACTACGCACAGTTGGGTCCTAAATATCAGCGTCGCATATTGGCAGTGATCCAACTGCTTCAAAAAGCAGCGAAGGTAGGCGATATCGCGGGCAGTTGTGATAGTGAGGTTTGCTGTTCTCCATTAGATTAGATATGTATGCATATTTTATGCCACGTATTCATCGGTTCGCATAAACGCTGGCACGAAGTTTGTCCCAAGTGACAAGATAGGCGAAAACGCTTAAAGCACGACAGATTATGTTGGATTAGATTACTGGTTAATCAATGCCGCACATGGAGACGGACCTAGCAAGTACGACAAGCATCCAAGTAAGGCAATTCGAGTGTAGCAATGAGTATGACAGACCGTGAAATGAGGCTATCACGTTTTGTTGAGGTCTTATTTTTACCGGTCCGCGCGGACACTGGCCTAGAATTTACCATAGGTAGCATAGATAAGTGGTGTCGCGTATATGTATGGGTATGGAAGACCGTCGCTGGCCATTGGAACACGTTACCGTGCATAGGTGATGTCTCCTAATCAGCGTCGTACATAGCTGTTACAATAAGTATTCGAGATGAGTGGCAGCTCGTAGAGTACTGAGTATATTGGGCCGTCGTTGATCACTGGATTAGGCTGTCTTGAATAGGTGAGGTCCCGTAGTCAGCGTCGCACATTGACACGGACCCTGAAGTTACGATGAATAGTTGAGCTGAGTGACAACGATTGCCGTTATCATGGTGACTGCTTTATGGCGGCCACCACCTATAGAGCGTCACATTCATAATGAGACCTGCAGCTATCTCGTGACGCTGTATGATCCACCGGCTAGTTATCATATCTGGGAAAGAGGATCACCCGCGGGGATGGCCCGCTCATCGCCATTGAACAGTTCATGCTGTCGTCTAACAACGTGGCTCTAGTGAGGGTTAAGATCCAGGGGAATGTGTTGTAACCAGGTTCACCCAATAAAATCATCTCATCTGTTAAAACTGAGGAGTGCAAGGCAACGAACGTCGGTGACCGATCTGCCAAGGTGGAAGTTGTATTGGATATTCTTGGATGTTATCATCCTTAAGGAAAACCAAAGAGCTTCAACATGTAGTGAAGTGCGATTTCGTGTGCCTCAACCGGTAACAAAGTGCGAATCGATGATGGTACGTGACCTTGACATTTCGCTCACTTAAGCAGAATGCTACGGGTAATATGTCGCCGCAAGGTGCAAATGGATTAGACTAACAAGCAGTTAGAGTATCAACTCCAATACCCGATAGTTTCGGCCAAAATAATTCTGGCATGTTTCCAGTCAGCAGCCCAGACGACGACCCCCGGATTCGAACCGCCAACACGCCATCCGCCACGCAGATTATCCCACTGGCGGACCATGAGCCGCACAATGCTCCCAGCTGCAAAACCTTTATGAGAGGAATAAAAGATTTTACGCCAAAATGTTGCATTTTGTTTCATATTTGCTCAAACCAGGAACCCAGTTAACACTGGTGCAGAAATTTCGCAGGATATCTGCACGCGGGTGCGGACACTTCCGCACGGTGTCCACAGATTTCTGCACCCGAATGCAGAACCAGTGCGGAAATGAAACAAGTTTCCGTACTCAGTCTGCACCCAGGTGTGGGGATGGTGCACTAAAACAAAGCCACTTAAATCGGTCGGCAGATTACATTCCATAGGGAACCG